ATTTATTTATTTATTTTTTTGATCTAGTCAAGCGCGCGCTATTTACATTTTTCGCGTTTTTAACATTCAAATGTAACGTAAGCCCTGACACGTAGTTTGTAACGTACCTTAATATAAATTCAAATGTACAACAGTTAAATGCTCATTTGCAACTGAAGATGACATGAGAATGTCGAAACATGTCTTGTAAATTTAAACTCAAAGTTGTTGTTTCTTTTTCGAGAGTTATTGTCACTCTGCTGTCTTTACGTCCTTTTGGTAACATTATACACGACTCTGATAGTCTAAGAATCAGTATTTACAACATACCTTTTTCATCACTGATCGCTTCCTTTTCGTCCATAACATTGTTGAACGTTGAAAGGAGAAAAATTTAGTTTATTTCCTGAGCTTAGATTGAACAAAAGCTATTATGGTGCTCAGTTAACTGAGCCATATAATACCTTGCATTTAGATAGATAGATAGATAGATAGATAGATAGATAGATAGATAGATAGATAGATAGATAGCTTTATTAGGAAGTAAAATCATTGCAGCCCCCGGGCCGGCTTAAATACGACTTACTTTACAATGGGAAGAAATTATCTCTTACTCTAAGATAACTACAATAAAAGCCGCAAAATGTAATCTACAATAAAATACAATAAGAGAGGTGTCAAAAGCCACAATACAAATAATTAAGAAAGCTACTAATGATTAAAACTGTTCGCCATGATAAATGTGTTTTTGAACCTATTTGTCTTACAAATCGGTAGCTTGAAGTATCTCTGGCTGCGGGTGCAATATGTGGACTCGTCGCGTGGAGGCAGCAGATCATGGACTTTCATTAAAAAGTTAGAAAAAATCAGACCTGAACAAAGGCCAAATTAAACCGATATAAAAATCGCCAATAATTTTCTGGTTTGATGGCACTTGTAAAACTCTAATCAAAATTATGGAATAGTTTTTATTTAAAAGCTTTTTGAGCACTCGGAAAGACTCTATTAAAACTCACGACCACTGAATGAAAAACTTCCACAGGAATTGATACACTCGGAGTGAAGTAAAGTTTATGTGGCCTGGTTTGACTAGGGAGTTCAATAGGAGTTCAATAAGCTTTCAGTTTGTTACAATGCCGTTATCACAAAATCTAAAAGTGTGAAGTGTGGTCCTTCCGGGGCATTCAGAAGTTTCCTCTCTCCACCATTTGTGACACATTTTAAACATGTTTTTTTTTTTTTTAACGAAACCTCAAGGCTTATTTTTTTTGGTTATTTTTGAATTACGAGCAACTTATCTTCAACTAATGAAATATAAATACAAATGAAAATTGGTGGTTGAAATATCATAACAATACCGTTGATCCTGAAGGAGAACATTCTACCTGCTGTTTTGGTGCCAGAACAAGAAAGATTAACCACACGTACATTTTCATGGCCATGATGAGGTATATAATAGTACGATTGTTCTGATTTCAAAAATTGTGCGTATTAAGTATTACTCACTACACCTAAGTTTATTTTGTTAAGCCAGCTGTATTTGATGCTAGAGCCTCAGAAGACAACTTGAATAACTGATTAAGGACTCCCTACGTTGCTTTACTTTTACAATTGAGGGGGATCATGTTATCGTTAATTAACGTTGATAACTAAAGCGCCTTCTAAAATACTGACTGAAGACAACTTGGCAAGCTTGAGACAGTTATTATCCCACTAACGTTTTGATATCGACAATTTTATTTATTAGTTAAAAACATTTTAGAAAAAACTGGAATCAAATAATAAGGAACAAAATGACCGGTTTTTAATAATCTATCTCACATCTAGGACCGATCCTGGGGACTCCAACAGGAGATGTGTGTGCAAAAGAAAGACTTTGAAGTTATTGAGTCAAAAATTAAAAGAAACAACTTGTCACTAATACAAATCGGTTTACCTAAAGCAAACCAAAATTGATAGGTTGATAATGAAAACAACCCTGCAGCAGGTGTGTAATCCAATTGCTCGTGACACACGTGCAACTCCTCAAATAGCGAAAGAAATGAGTTGGCAAAAGCGCTTTTCTCGGAAGCAGCTGAAAAACTGTTTTACTTCTGAATCGCACCCTGTGTCTACAAAATCTCTGTTTCAAGTTTAATTCTGCCAACATAATGATTTTTATCTTAAACTTTGACTTAAACTTTGATTTAAACATTCAAGGAGTGGATACTGCAGGACCCAAAATCAACCACGCATTAGTAACTGCGATGAATCTAGCCAACAGAGCATTTGGAAAAAATGTATTCTAATTCCTATTAGTGCTACTAGACAGGAGGAGAGAGTGTGGGGAGGAAGAGGCGTAGGAAACGGTAAAGAGGGAAAACCACCGAGATTACAATAAAAGTTCTTAAAGAAACGCAGCTGCGTAGCTGGTCTTGGCCAAAATGGATTTTCAAGAGTAAAATCATTTAGGACAATGTATCGGCCTTCCCTTTCCCCCACCCCCTCTCCCCCTTGGCATACCTTGAATATCAAAAGAACACACAGGTTGTGATTAATTGTCACAAATGAATAAGGGGGTAAGTTTCGGGGTAAATTTTGTCGAGCATAGTTATATCGTTTAACTTTCTGATGAGCACATGATAAATATAATTATATACAATGCAACTTTCGGACATTTGGTTTCGGAGTTCGGAGTTCAATTTTGGCCGATATAATTTTTAGACTTCCGACTTCGGACATTGGACCTCTAATTTCCGACTTTTAACCTTCCTACTGCACGATTTCTGACTGCGAACGTCCGAAAGCCGATTTCCGTTCACCATCAGCTGCATTTTAAACCGTGACTTCAGTCTCGATCATTTTTTTTCCGCTTTCGATGTAAAAGTTACCTTTACAACTGTCGCCACCTTCGAAGATCTTTCTTTTTAAGTCAGAAGGTTATTTTTTATTGCTTCTTACACGTAGAATCAAAATATGAAATCGATCTGGCTTTTTTTAAAAGGGAGGTGCAGCAGTATCCAGGATCAGGGGGGCATTATCATCCAAAAGTGATCCCGATAACAAAAATATAAACAGTTCTTGATATTCTAAAAGAAATCGGGAGCGTTAGGGAGACTCCAGTTATCGATTTTCAGGACAGTATGGTTTGATTGCGGACACTGTTGTCCGAATTTGAACACTGATGGCTGATGTTAGACCAATGTTGGACTTCGTCTAACTTTACACAGAATTGTCTTATCTTGGACACTAGTGTCGGATATCAGACACTGATGTCCATGGAAATTGTTTTTCTGATTTAGTTATTCAGTAAGGAAGATCATAGAAAAGCAAAACCTTCGTTCTATCTAGCTTGACAAAAACAACTGCCATAGAATCGATTTGTCGGCCTTCCTTTGAAATCAAGTGAAAGATGTGTCAGCTAGTGACAATGACTTGGTTCAAGCTACGAGCGAAAAGTTGTTTATTGTGCGAGTGGCTGTAGCTGTATTTTACATCAACGCCATATTTGTTATGAACAGACAATTCAACAATGTCCTGTTTAAAAATATAATGATAACAGTAGTACTACTAAACTGGGAAAATACAGTCAGGCACTGAATCAACAAATTTATCCTCAGTTTTTTTAAAAACGTATTAACAATGAGCTGAACTTTGGGAAGACTTTTCCTCAGAGTCAATATTCTCTTTGGATAATAATTCCTCGGTCTTTTCTGACTTTTTATGATGTAATTTGGTTTCGTACATCCTTTCCGGCCCTCCAATGGTTAAAGCGGCCAACGGAAGATTGCGAATGGTGGATGCTGTTTCTTTCCGGGTACAATCACGAAGGCAAGTCTTAATGGCTTTCTTGAAATCTGGTTTCAGAAAAGCGTACATAAGCGGATTTACCAGTGAACTGGTTGCTATGGTGAAAAAGGAAATAATGGACAGTGCATATGGGATGATGTTTGGTCTATTGAAGATAATGTCTGCAGTTGTTATGTAGACGATTGGCAGCCAAAAGAGTAGAAAAGCTGAAGCAACTATGGAAAACACTTTGGCTACTTTGGCTTCCGAATGTAACCGTTTTCGTTCGTTTTTGTGCACTCTAAGAGAATCCAAATTCTTCTTCAATGACAGGCTTCGGCGAACTTGCTTAAACATTCGCACATAGGCAAACGTAATAAAGATGTAAGGCAGGATGATGCCGAAAAACATCATGCAGACCATGTATGCCCTATGTATTTTACGGGTAGGATCAGTTTCCCAAAACAGAGGAAGTAAGGAGTAAATTGCTGGAAGTACCCATGAGAGTGCGAGACCCATTTTGAGTTTCGTAGGCGCCCGATATGAGTGTTCCAGTGGCTTCATTATGGCAACATATCGATCATAGGTCACAGTGCATAGGTTTGCAACGCCCGAGAGTAATATCATGCACACTAAATACCCTGTTACAATCGAAAATGGCTTGATGAGATAGACAGGCAGCAAAACTCCTCCTGTTAATATGTCCGATACAGCGAGTGACACCATTAGCCAGTTCGTGTTGCTTCGAAGATCTTTCTTGAAATAAACCAAGAGGCAAACGCAAAGGTTCGATAAAACGATGAGAATTGAAAGAATGCTCAGAGTCACAACCACAAAATCAGTTTCAGCCATTTATCGGCAGAGCACGTTTTGAAGCAGCGCTGACCTCTCTAATTGTCTTCCTTTTGTGTTTTCCCAAGAAACGTATTCATCTCTGTGGACAGCTTGTTTTGGTGTGATAAAATCGCCAAAGAGTTGGCCATGGTCGCACTATGTTTCCATTGATCACCAGTGCCAAGATTATTCCTAACTTTTTTGTTGTCCGTTGTAGGTGTTCAAGCGAAGTCAATGAATTTATTCTACCATCCTGAAAATCTTTGATGGTTTCCTAATCCCGTGCTGAGCGCAGAGCAGAGATGATTTCAATGTTGTTAGTTTTCCTTCCTTTATGAATATATTGTAAACTCCCAGGAGAGCTCATTAAAAAGCAATAAAAGCTTCCCAGAGTACGATTGAATTACATTACAACACGTTCAAGCTAGATCCTGGCTGCATTCAGTTTGCCTTATTAGAAAGTACTATTTTTTACTTTTTGCACAGAATACTTTTACGGATATTTTTGCGGTGCTGGTAATCCTATCACCTTGTATGCAACATCTCGATCCTGAAAACCAATTATTTAGAAATGTACAATAAACATTGAGATCGGAAATGAACTTAATTGCTCTTTGAAAAAGAAAACTAACCAACCACTTCAGTGGTGCTACTCAGTCACATAAACATGAGACAATATTTATTTTCTTGTTCAACGCTTTGAAATGCACTAAAGAACAGTTAAGATTCGTTAATGACATACAAAGCTTTCTTCAGTATGAAGAAACTGACCATAGAGCAAGTAGATTATATTCATTAAAATAGACTCAAGTAGAGTCGTGTTTTGGATACTACGACAACTAATGGACATACTCAAGCCAAAAACAAGATAAACGTTTAATAATGTTCTCCTCATTTATGCAAAACACCAACATGAGTCATAGAAACGGAGGGAAGTCGAAAGCCTGTTGTGTTTCCGCATCAATATTGCCCACTTTCCACTTGAGAACCATCTTGATTACTACTGGTATACCTTGTTACAAATGTACACTGAACAGCAGCTGTACCACGCACGAGTGTAATTTGTAATTAGAGTAAACGGATTGAAGGCGAAATTAAACTCGGTTCTATAAAAAATCAAACATGTCAAAGAGTTTATTGGCTAAAATTTCACAACATTCTCTGTTAAAATCGGTGACCCACTCATGTGAAAGAGGTCATAATAACAATGTTTTATTAAAACAACCGTTTGGACGCTATAATCACTTTTTATGCAAAAGGTCAGCTAGGTTTACACCCTCGCTTGATCAAATAGATAAAGAACTTATCTTCATTACAAAAAGAAAATGGATTTAAAGGAAAGAAATAGAATAATGCTAAGGTCGACAAGAGCACTCTTTTTTTTCTCACGCGTCCATGCTTTTGTTACCTGGCGGCATTCTTTGCACTTCTGAAGATAATTGTACCTGTATTGTTAAACCCATGCCGCAAATTGCGAACAACATTGCTTGAAAACTACTGCCGGCCTCCGAAAAAAATATTTTATGTTTAAATCTTTATATCAAAAAAGGTACATTCACCGGATATGGGGCAATCAAATTAATTGTGAGTTTTCAGTATCTCTTAAATTTTCAGTCCAATAATTGGCCTCAAAAAGCGAAAGCCACTCGATTATAAATACATCAATTTTGTAAGTGATCGTCTCAGATGTTAGAATTTCCTTTCTTAGTTTATTGCATTCGCAAACGAATATGATTTCATTCTTGGGCAATAAAAATGCAGGATTGTAATTATGATATGCCTAATTTTTTGTTCGCCGACTGGATCGTTAATTCACCGCTTCGGTTGATGGAAATGTTTCTTAAGTATAATTTTAAAACTTAGAGCTCTACGGAATTACTTTTTTTCTGCCATCCTTTCTTCAAGTGTTTACCATTACCAAGAAAATATTGATTGGAAGGCGATATTTTTTTCTCCTAATCGAAAAATTTCAAAATAAACGAAATGCGTTGTTAGGTATGCAAAAATTTGTTCCCAAATTTTATATCTAGACGGACGGCCCTACCTTCTCGTGGGCTTTCCCTCAATTTTGATATAAGTAACTTGATGTTATAATAATGTGCTTTATTACACGACTCGGGGAGTCAGAGGGCCAATAACTAAAATCAACCAATCAAAATGCTCTATTGCCGGTCCAATATTCTCTAAGTATTGGACCGGGCACTGTCCCGAATGGTCCCGCATGATACCGCACTTGTGTCCCTTTGAACTTCAGTCGTATAATAAATCTCTTATTAACCAAGCTTGCTCGGGACCGTACTGGAAGAATATCGGCCCTCGGTCTTTTTTGTACGGACCTCGCTGCGCTCGGTCCGTACTGTCAAGACCTCGGGCCGATATTCTCCCGGTACAGCCCTCGCGCTTGGTTAATAAGATATATGTAAATTAAAAATGCTAAGCAGAATGTTTCATGATAAAAAAATATAGACACGATTGTCTATGGTTGTAACTGTTGTGACCCTCGTTTTCGTAAAATATTGAGGCATATTTTGGATAGAGGTCGATGCTACTCAGCGTAAATAAGTACGGAGTAGAAGTGCCAATCATAAAGCGAGCCGAAATTATTGATATACTTGTGTCTTGCCTCGTCGATGAAACATTTAATCGATCAATCAATCAATCAATTTATAAACCGTCAATTCCTACCTTTAAGGGTTAAATATACTCTTGGAAAAATCATGTTGGTCAAGTATAACGCTTTAGCCCTAGAAACATTGCAAAGGATAATTGAGTAATACTCAACGGTCATCTTCGATGTAACGACAAAGTTTAATTTGGATTCGGTGTTTTTTAACAACACAACTGTTATTTCATTGTAAGTTAACATTCACGCCATTTTTCGATTTCTGTTTCTCTTCAAAATATAATGTGATGTTACTGATTCAATTTTTTCTTCTTATGAGTATTTATCACTAGCTAGCCATCTTTGTGTCACTCTTTTTATCATTTGCATTTGTATGTTTTGAATCTCTTGTTTTCATCCAACTTCAGCCCCCTCCCCTCCCCTCCCCGCACAGTAGTTACCTTCAGAGAAACACGGAGCAAGAATTCTCTTAAACCGATTATCACAACAAGAACAAACGGAATATTTATCCGACACGTTTTACTTCTTTATAAGGGTTGGGGTGTTGAATGATGAGGCTAACATTTCCGTATCTCGAGTCATCATATGGCAAGTAAGCAACACATTAATCTATTAACTGAATATCTGCCGCTGGTTTTATACCTTTATACCTTATACTTTTTCAGTTTCCTCGTTCGAATAAAATTAATTTAATTCATAAAAATGAACCGCTGTCAACATATGGTTGCTTGACGGACTTACCAATTATGTATCCACCGAGTTGTGTTAAGTTAATTTTTCCAACATAAGCTACATAACTAATGATTCAAAGAACGAGCAAAAAAATGGATTAAGTCATTAATAGGGGATTTAATTGTTCATGCCCATGGCGGTCTTGTAACGGGCTGTTTGAGTAGTAGTATCAAGTAAGCATTTTTGCTGGTTTGGGATCAATTAGTGAAAGCCAAACCAGAAAATGACAAATTTTCTTCACCCACATACTGAAGTTATTTAATGGCGGCATTCTGTCCTGTTTGATGAATTCCAAGCGTTATATTCACAGTTCTCATAGGTCGGTTTCTTTGCCATGTTCTTCATTTTCAAGGTTCTTTGTTATCACAGAAACATCAATAACACATGTTGATTCCTGTTTCTGAGTTGATGTTGGAGTTCGTTTAGGAAATTTTCTCTTGATAATGCCCCGGAAGTCGGGTTTAAAGAATGAATAGACTATTGGATTAACCGCAGAGCCCAATGCGACAGTAAACAAAGAGAAGTCCAAGAGCCAAACCGGCGATAACATGTCCACAGTGGCTTTGTCAGTGATGGCAGATTCAACACTGGT